TGAAAATTTAAAGGTTGAGAAAATTAAAAAAAAACGATGCACGATTGTCTTTGTTGGCTGTTGATTATTATTATTATTATTTTTTAAATATCTGCCTACTTCAAAAAATAATTGATCATTGATCTAAAATGTAAGTAGATTTTATTTTAATTTTCTCTAGTAGTTTTAAAGATTATCACATAAACTTGGAGATGGGTAAAAGATAAATATAAGTATTTGACCAAAAACCGTTTAACTTTGTCATGCTTACATAAAATAGAATCAGTGATTAAATTGTACTGATGTAGAGTATACAACATTGAATAGATTCTATACTGGCTTATCTAGACGTAAAATGAAAGGAAACTTAGAGAAATTACGTCGATTCAAAACGTTGGTATACATAATTTCGACCTGTTAGTATCAAACATGCTAGGATATAGTGAATAGTTATTTGTATTAAAGGAAGTATTCGGAAACAGTTATATGACTATAAATAAATCATATTCGTACAGTTGGATATAAAGATTGAGTGAGATTCAAAGTATCTATTTTCTAACTTGATAAATACTTCGATATATGTTTCTGGTTATAGTTTGTTTTAACTAATTCACAGCTTAAGAAGTTTACAACTTATCAAAAAGATAATTATTAGTAAATTCAGGTCTAATAAACATAGTGGTTGGAAATACTTTGCTTCATATTTATATATTGTTTGGAAAAATGTACGATGAATAGATTGAATTTAGTACATCAAATATAGCATATGAAGTAAATAGACGTTGTTAGGAGAAAAAGTGGACACAAAATGTTAACAGATGAAAACAAGAGATCAGTCTCTGTTGGAAAATTATTTTCACAATCATTATCAATATTATTTACCAGAATGCATAGTAAGGTGAGATTTGTTGTAACAATGGATATTTGCACGAGATAATCTCCAATCAAATTTACTAATTGATCGACAAAAAAACAAATGTTATTACTATTGAATACACGTGTGGTGAATAGTAATAGAATATAGAATCCGACCTCCAACATGCTTAGAATTCATCAGATAGATACACCACCATCTCAAGATCGATACACACAATCAAAATCAAACAAAGTCATTTACGACTCATTATCTTCTATAATATGTTTAAATGTGATGTGATGGTTGTAGGTAGTCAACAGAAAACACTACTGAATCTAGTTTTCTCTTATTTTTGTACTAGTCAACAAAATGTATCTGCAATCTTGAGGAAACTGATACTACCTAGTGAATTTGAGCCCATATCACCTAGATTCACAGTCAATGACTTAATCACTGAGCTATACGGAATGCAAATGACCTTCTATTGAACTGAAATGTATATACAATTGATTAATCACTGAGTATAGACCTATATCATGTTTATCAATTTCTTTTATCTATTCTATTACAATAATAATCACAATATTAAAGATCATAATATTCAGTAACAGATTTTATTGATCATTATCTATAAACCAAATAGAACTCTGAATACATCGTTGATTATCAATAGACCTAATAATTATTTCAATTATAATTTTCAGTTAAGATAAAATTCAAAATGTCCCACAATAGGACGAAACGACCATCCATTGCTTCCAGGTATTCCACAGTGGTCTAGTTTCAACTGACTCATGATCTCAACTATTGAAATCACTACAATCTCCACAAACCCCCTTCTGAAAAAGTATGTATAATTCATTATGAGTAACTAATAATTATGATGAATATACATCTATCATTCTCATGTTAGAAGTTTTTATTATTACTATTATTATTCTTATTAAAATATATATATGTATACAGTAAGATAAGTGTTTCGCTTTTTCCCGGAAGGCATTATTCTACGTTTAAAAGCCACTGGAACGTTTAGTTTTTTTTCTTTTTTTTAAAAAAAAACACAAAATGTCTGATTTGCCCGACAACAGTTTGTAAAACGATTTAGATAGAGAGACATATTTTTTAAAAAAAATAATTTTTGTGTTTAAATTCTCCATTTCTACAATTTTGCCTGATCTACATTAAATAATTGATAATTAGTTTCTAAGGTTAATTGTAAATTTTGTATAGTTGGACTTTTCTTTTTGATTAGTACAATAGATGTGTTAGTATTTAAAGTAAAATGTAATAAATTGAAGTTAAAATATGAAAAATCAACATTGAAATTTGAAAGTAGTCAGTTCATAAGTTATAAATAAAATAAAATGGAATTTGTAGATTCCATTGTTAGTTACAATACAGTTCGAATTCTAAAAGTTAAGTTCTTAGTAGAAACGTTTGATATTTTCGTTTTTAATATACATGAAATATACATATAATAGACCGATAGGTTCTGGGTTCGAATTCCGCGAGTTGGGATAGTGGATGAGCACAGTTGAGGAGTCCCACACTTGGACGAAACGGCTGTCCAGTGCTTCCAGGTATTCCATAGTGGTCTAGTTTTAATTGACTCGAACTTAACGATTAAATTCCAATAATATTTCTATTGAAATCTCAACATTTGCTCACGTATATTGTAAAAATTAAAGAACTGTTTTATGTGTTACATTTAGATAACAAACGATAAGTATTAAACTTCAATATTCTTCCGTTTCGTTCGAAAGTTTGTACTTTATAAAGCATGTTTTCTTGTAATAATAAGTAATAGTGAATTTTTAAGTGATTGTATCTGTTCATTAATATTAGGGATAGTGATTGGTCAGTCAATTTAGACCTATATACATATTGAATGGATTCTCTCTATATTGTCACATATTCACAAATATGCAAGTAAACATGAATAGTGGTTAACAGTTGAATCTAGGATGTATGTTTCATCCTATTTGCAACTCATCAATTTTTTGTGATTGAGACTCTCGTGATATATGGATTCCTCAATATCAACAATGAGAAATTATAAACCATTACAAGTGAACTGTAATTGATGGTAATTGCATGAAATAACGTTTATGTGAACTGAGTAGTTGAGTGTATGATGTGTTGTTTGTGAGAACCATAAATGACTGTGTTTGATCATGATTGTGTGTATCAATCTTGAGATGGTGGTGTTTCTATCTGATGAGTTGTAAGCATGTTGGAGGTCGCATTAAATCATGTTCAATAAATGATACGTTGTACAATTCAATAATCTTCTAGTTGTTTTTCATGAAATATGACAAACAATTTAGTTTGCCAAATAAAAGACAACTGGAAAAATAAATTAATGTATGTCATCCTCTTTGAACAAGCAGATTAACAATAGAACAGTATTGTTCGTTAGCAGTTTTGTTTATTTAGAAAAGCTTATTTCACTGATGGTTTTTATTTCGTTTAAATTCAAGAGGAGAAACAAAAAGGAAAATTAAGGAGCTTTGGACAAGTATTTATATTTTCTTAAGAATTTATCTAAACTGATATGTTGGTATCCGCCACTAAAATCATCTTAACACGGGTTAAACGGTTGACTAATTATTAGCTTGTTTTAAGCAAATTAAATAGTGTCAATTTATGAAGAAAATTATTTTCAAGTTAAATAAATCTCTATAAAATGGATTCTCACATTTGTAAACTAAACTCATGATTATAAGCAAACATGGATAGTGGCTAGCAGAGGAAATCAGGACGCGCGTTTCGTCCTGTTCGGGACTCGTCAGCTGGATGTATCTGCATCTCAGAGTTGATTTTCACTCTGGGACTCGAACTCAGTACCGTTCGCTTCAAACGCCATCACGTTATCCACTTAGCTACTGAGTCCTGATATCCACTTACTTGTGCAATGGGTTGAAGTTTAATTCACTTGATATTGTTTTTACTTGAATCTTCCCATTGATGTTTTAGGACTGAAATTGATCAGTCTCTTATTGGCATATGTGCATACTCTGCGTATGCCTCAATATTGCCTTAATTTACGAGCATTATAAGCAAAGATGGTTGTTGAAATAGAATCGTTTCATAGAAGTAAAGCAGTTACCTAACAATGACAGTGAATTACTAACATGGAATTCGAATAAAAATTTAGAGTTGTTGGTTGTTGAATTCTGACTCAGTGTCTGCACCGAATATTTCTATCTATCAAAACAAAAGATCTAACATGAGCTTGCTCAGATACTGATGAACAGGTGGCTTACAATTGTTTTCTAGCTGATCATATAATCTTTAGATAGTGTTATATTTTCTAACCTAACTGGTTTACTTATGAACCGCAATTATTTTGAATAACATCATCATTATAATCTAATTCAAAAAAGTAACTCCTGTATAAAATTTACAGCAACGATATTCAATAGATCAACCATAGAATAAGTCATCAATAAGCCATCCAGATCACAAAAATCAATACTATTAAATGTCTACAATAATTAATTGTTTTGTATTTCAGTAAATTGAATAAAAATTGAACCAAATTCTCATTGTATATCATTGTGTTCTTATATATAAATAAGTTTGTAATTGTTGAAATTCGTTTAGACATTAATTAACTTATTTGGTATACAGATAGTGAGTATCTTATACGATTCGAGCATAATCAATATTGACAATCATTTAATTGTAATATATACTAAGTTATGAATAAGTACATAGACTTTCTGGAACAATATCCATAATGATCAGTTTAATTTTCTCATTTTATAAACTGAAAATTCAGTAATCACTTTATAATCTATCATATGAACTGAGGATATATTAAAATATAATTTTGTGGTTTCGCTTACTTATATCCACGCAAGTAGTATATGACGGTGGTCAGGCATAGAATGTATTTCATTAGAAGGTGGATGAGGAAAGAACGGAAACGAAATGCAATTGATATGAAAACGTAGGAATAATGAAATTTGAGACAATGGATTGATGTTTGCAACAGGAACAGTCAGGTTTGATATGATGGATTGATATTTTGCAAATTAACGATTTACTATATGGTTCTCAGATTTTAGTGAGATGCTCTGTAATTTAGTGTCAAATACATTTGATTGTTCCCACTGGTGTTTTGTTCACTATAATTTTACTAGGTTATTTATTTTTCTAGGACAACCGTCAAAAATTGCTGCTTTCTCTGGTAATGGTTTCATTTTAAATAAATTAAAAAATCGACCAATTACAAGTACTGAAGAAAGAATTGAAATTGAATTTCAAACGAAACAATCAAATTCAAGTTTGTTTTGTGCAGGTAACTATTGTGTTAGAATTTTTGTTGTTGTTGAGTACTTGAACGTGATTGTAGACGATTAAAATATGTATTTTGAGTATTTATGTTGTGAAATACTTTTAAAGCATAAATTACTTAGAAAATTCTGGTTGACTGATAAAAGACATTTAGTTTGTAAATGATGTTTAGTTAAAAATAACAGAAACAGAAGAGAGTTGAACGTTTCAAGTTAATTGTTTTGAGTACCGAAATAGAAATGAAGTGAAAAAGACGGAATAATTGTTATGTCATCCTATTCTGTTCACATTGGGTGATTTGAGGTAGTCAGTCATCAGGAAACCTAGGACTTGAGCATCGTGTTGGTTAGTACTCGATAACGAGGTGTACTGGCGGTTCTAAAGCAATTCGTATCCCATGGAAGAAACCAACTTGGGTTTCTTTGGTTCGAGTCTGAAATTTTATCACTGAGCTATTTTTATTTTTATAAATTCTAAATGTATTTCGGATTTATGAAATGGACATATTTATTTCATCATGAAAAAATTATTTTGCATCAAAAATGAAAATGAATTTTAGGTTTAGAATGTTTAGAGGTTGGTGTCCAAAGCAGGTAACATAAAACACAATGAAATTTAAAATACTACTGAACCATTTTATTAGTAATATATTGATGTGCGATTGAAGAAAATTGCTAAATGATTTGTTAAAATGTTTTCTACGGAAATAAGGAGTTTGTGTTCGAGAGAACTTTACGTTATAATGGGTAGGGATAGATATGTAGACATTATTTTAATCATACATGTGTAGTCAGTTTATAATAAATGAACCGTGACAATGAACATTGTTTTATTTGAATAATGGTTTTAAAATTCCTTCTCTTAACAAGTCTATCCACCCACTTTGTGGTTTTTAACTAGTTGACTTTCAAAAGCAGTGCAAATATGGCCAGTTCGATACTTGTGTCTGCCAATGTAATTTTGAAATATCAAGTGTAATTCAACTGAAATTGGCAAACTGTTCAGTCTATTGTATGTATGAATATATCAGAGATATTGGCCAGTGTTTCTAAGACACATTTGTAGATTATCTGAAAGGGATTCCAGTACAATTTTAATCGGAACAATAACTGCTGGAATAATTTTTTTGTCATTATACTTCACTAAAAAATACATTCTTCACTAAAATCGACTGCTTCACCCCTGATAATAATAATAATAATGACACCAAATAAAGTGATTATTGTTTTGATTCATGAAAGGGGTTATTAGAATAAAAAAAGTATATTGGTTATGGATTATTGCAAATTGGCTGAATTTAATCAGTAATCTAACAGTTACGAGCTTGTCAAGAGACCTGAGGGTCTTGGCTCAATCTTCAATAGGTTCATTGGTGAACATCATTAGAAGAGGAATCTCAAATAAAATGAATTAGATATCAATTGTTCTTGGATTTCCAATAGTTATCTAGATGGAATTAGTTTGTATTGTAAATTTATGGAAATGAAATAATCTATTCCATATGATATATAAAGTAGTTTGATCAATTTACAAACAGAGCAAACTGATTTGATTCTTATGGAATAGCTAAGAAGATGATTCCTACATAAATTAGGTGCTCATAATGTTATCTAATTAAACAATAAAAGCTCCATTATGAAATTTTCTTATTTAAAAAATTCAATAACATTAAAATTATTTACTTGAACTATAGATCTCTATCACTTCAATTAGTTTGTTGTATCACGAAATAGTAAATTGGATAAGAAGCCGAAATCTTGTGAAAGGATATAGACTTGAATTGTGGAAGTTAAAAATTGCGTATTGCGTAAATAATTTACAAAATTTTATTATAGCTCTGATGAATGAAGCTATGAACTATGGGGGAAAATTAAATATAAGATAGAATTGCATCAATGAAAAGTACAGATTATCACATTACAATATTCTGTAAAATTAAATGTATATCTATTATCCTTTTTTAACCGATACTGTTATAACTGCAGAAATAAGAAAACACTGAAATTTTCAAGGAGCAAATAAGAAAACTAAGACAAAAACTAATAGGAGATGAAGACTTTATTCATCGTCTAACAATATGACAATAACAACATCAACTGAACACATTTATTTGTCAACAGAATTTACTGCTATTTTATGAGTAATCCACCAGTATCATACATAAATGAATTAGTGAAATACAAAAGTTGAATTCTACACTAGGTTTGTATAATCGAACTCTGCATGTTATAATGAATAAATATTACGCTTAATGAAAACAATAGTGTCATACTATACAGAAACCATACAAATATCACACTGATTTAAAATATTATTCTGTATTCTAACGCTTTCATCAAGGGTTTGTTCAAAAGACATGACATACTTACGACATATAGTAAATCAATGTTTACTTACTAGAAAGTTATCAGAATTCTATCCTTTTTTTAGTCATATGATCAAGCAACCATTAAATATTCAATTTTCTCAATCATTTCAATAAAGTATCCATCTATTTTCATTCTATTACAAGAAGAGATTATGTTTAAATTTACTCCTATTCAACCATTAACGTTCAATTTTTGAAAATAGAACAGCATATATAAGTGAACAATATTGTTTTCGATTAGATCCTTATTAAGTTTTACTTTAATATACTTACGCCTGTTACTCCCAATGGAGCATTGGCCACCGACCAGCATCCTACAACCCACTCTGTCCTGAGCCTTCCTGTCTAGCTCTATCCAATTGTTGTTCATTCTGCTCATATCTGTCTCCATCTCTCTGTGTAATGTGTTCTTTGGTCTTCAACTCCTCTTTTGGTCTTCAGGATTCCATGTGAGAGCTTGTCTTGTGACGCAGTTGGGTGCTTTCCTCAATATGTGTCCTATCCACTCCCAGCGCTTCTTCCTAATTTCTTCCTCCACTGGGATCTGACTTGTTCTCTCCCACAGTAGGTTGTTGTTGATAGTGTCTGACCAATGGATTCGAAGTATTTTGCGTAGACTGTTGTTGATAAACACTTGTATCTTCTGGATGATGGATTTTGTAGTTTTTCAAGTTTCCGTCCCGTCCAGTAGAACTGTTTTAACATTTGTATTGAAAATTCTGACTATGGTGTTGGTTGACAGTTGTTTTGAGTTCCAGATGTTGTTCAGTAGTAGATATACTGCTCTTGTTTTGCCTATCCGCGTCTTCACATCTGCATCAGATCCACCCTGTTCATCAATGATGCTGCCCAAATATGTAGATGTTTTTACATCTTCCAAATCTTCTCCATCAATTGTGATTGGATTGGTGCATGTTGTGTTGTATCAGAGAATCCTGCCTTTCCCTTTGTGTATATTGAGACCTACTGCTGCTGAGGCTGCTGCCACACTGTTCGTCTTCTCCTGCATTTATTGTTGCGTCTGGGACAGAAGGGCCAGATCATCTGCGAAGCCTAGATCGTCCAACTGCATCTTAGATGTCCATTGTATCCCGTGCTTCCCTTCAGACGTTGACGTCTTAATAATCCAGTTGATCACCAGGAGAAATAGAAAGAGTTACTCTAATATACAGTAATATTTATGTACATATACGAAATTATTAAACCAATCAAGGCAGTTTATAAGTCAATAATAACAAATAGAATAGATTACATAAATCAATGAAAAGTACAAATTGGTATTATGATAACAGATGTACTAGTTGTGATAAGAATAATAAACTCTTGAATTAATGTCAGAAGCCTGATTAGGATCTAATCAAAAAACAATATTGTTCCCTGATATATATAGTTCTAAATCACAATACGGAAATTTTCCAATCGTGAAATGTATAAATTACTTTCTTTCAATTGACTCATGACCTCAACCATTGAAATTACTACAATCTCCACATAACCCCTTCTGATACTTACTTTTTTTTTCATTTTCAATCTTCTCCTATTTTACACCTAGTTCTTTCTTTTTTTTAAAAAAAGGGGGGATATGTAAATTTAATTAATTATTACTAATTATAACAAACATTACTATATTTGAAGAAAAAAAACTAAACTATATAATGAAAATATAATAATAACAACAAGATGTATAGAAGTTGACGACAACAACAAAAGATAATTGAATGTATCCAATTAATCACAACATTTCTATATAAAATAAAATTAATGTAGATAAAATATAAACAGAAGGAAAACTGTTCCTTGAAAAAGGTCATTTTTCTTTCTTTTTTATTTCTCTAAAAAAAATAACAAAAATAATTATCAATAGAAGCTAGAAAAACAGAAGAAGCAGCCACAATGTAAATCATGAATAATAATAATATCACTTTAAATTGTGTTGTTTTTATCCTTTCAATCTTTCACACATACACACACACACCTTCTCACTCCTCCCTCTCTCTCTCTCTCTCGCACACACACATACATGCACATACGTTTACATTTATAGAAATGTATATATGTATGTATCCATGTATAGAATTAAAAATGATTTTTTAAAAAGAAAACATGTTTTTAGGTATAGTTTGTACAAAATTATAATGATAATACTGACCTATAGTTAAATTATATTTATTTCTCAACAATTAAAATAGTTAGAATACTTCATTTATGTATGAAAGATTTTAAGAGTAGTTTATTCTACTTATATCTATATATTAATGAGTTCATTATCAATTATAAGTGATTATGTATTATATATAAAAGTCATTTAGATTTACTGTCTCTCTCATTATAAATCTCTATTCAGGTCACCTATTAAATAAAAATTAAGAATTTTATATTTAAAATATGTTTTAATAAAATTGGATTGTGGTTAGCAGTAGAAACTAGATTGTCTATTTTTATCTTGTCGAGAAACTCTTTTGTGGCCCGTTGATCTGACTCCTGTTTAGATTGTATGGACAGACATGTGATTAATAGGATAAGGAGGGCACACACATATACGCTCATATAAAAACAGTCTAGATTGATAAGCGAATAAATAACAAGGCCAAAGTATGGCTCGAGTAGAATGAATAAAATGGGATGTCCGGAAGCTAGAATAAGGTATATGGGTTTGGCATAATAACTGACACTACAACTCATTTACATCTCAGTTTTGATGATCATATCAATAATTTTTTGCTTTCAATGACCATGTTACTCTATAAGCTACTGAGTTTAGATAGCCTTTGACTTGTGTAACAGGAATGAATTAAGTTTGCCAGTGATTGCATAATTCAATTGTAGTTAGGGACTGATCGGTTACAGTCTTCACTATCAGTGAGAAGATACAAAGAAATGAAATTTCTAAGTATTTTTTAGCAAATTAAAGACATTTTCATGTTTGATAATATAGTTATATTTCAATTCTTAATAGAATCTAGTTTTTACTATAAATTGTGAATAAGAAAAGATAAATGGATACTCAATGGTTATATCATCATCCACTTTGTACTATTCAATAGTATGTACTTATCATCCTACATGGAACTGATTTAAAGCTGTCGGTCCACTTAATGAATGTTGTATCATTCGGATATCAAGTCAAAACACCAATAATTAAACATATGTAACTGTAGTCGATTTATGATATAGTTTCATCTTAAGTCACGGTCTCAACAACAAATTCATTGATATTGCATGTGACAACATTTCATTATTACTTGTAGGGTAATTTATTTTGAAGTTAGCTAATGTTAGTGCACAACACAAATGATCTTCAAAATGAAATAATCTCCACAATTCATTCTTTTAAACCAAAAACCAGCTATTATCCCAACAGTATAACTTAACATAATAATTTTTGGGATATATGACATCTAATAGTAAAAATAATAACTCTTGAATTAGAAGTTAGGATGCAGTTAAACAACTGTTACAGCTTTCAAAGATACGAGATTTGTAACGATTACAATTATTTCACTTGCAGTCTGTGTTTGAGAAAGATTGTTGTATTTTGTAGTTTACATCATGGAAAGACTTCAGTTAGACGACTATTCGAAAATAAGAGGCACTGAAAAGCTATTTCGTCGCATAATGGATTTTCACTTCTGTAGTGCACGTCTGCGACCCCACAAGAGTCGAATCGTGGATCTTCAGGTCAAGTGGGGGTGAGTTCCCTGACGACGACACTTGGAGGTGGTTGTCAAACATTACGAATTGGGTGAATTAAGGGTTATTTGACATTATATAGCACCTCACTGGTTCAAAGATTAAGTTTATGCAATGAGACCTGAATATCCTGGGTTTGCTCGTCAGTCGAGACATGAATGAGCACTCCTGAAGAGTTTCAAGCAACAAACAGGTAGTTTTCAGTGGTTATTGATTTTCAGTAGCTGTCTAAGATCAGCTGATGACTAAAACCATAAAATTCTGTTTTTATCTATATAAAATTTGTTATCCAATAAACTCATTTCCAAAAATAACTTGGTGAAATATATAAATAAAAATAATAATATTTCAAGTAAAATGATGTCACCTAAATAACAAAGACATTAAGTTAAAACAAGAAAAATCAGTAAAATAGAAGTTTCTTATAAGTTAAAAAAAGTGAAGTTGCCACCTATCACTACAGAGGAATTAAAATACATCATGCCGAATAATTAAACGTAGAGAATGAATTGAATACTTGTTATGTATGTTGTAATTTCCACTAAGACATAGGTCGTATGACAATGTTGTGATCTATTAAACAGCTTGAAATATTTATCGCTTCTGGCACCTCAATGCACATGAGACAATATTTATTTAAATTAAACTAAAACCTAAATAAATAATGAAATCGAAGAACCGAAACTACTGGTACACAATCTTCACGAGAGATTTATATTGATTGCGCGATTTCAATTTAATCTTAATTTGGGATCAACCGAGAAACTGTTATGAACAAAATCCTAAGCGGTTCAGAGATGTCATGATTATTATGAGAACTGAAAGTCTTTGGTTTGATCTTTACAATGACCGTAAGTTCCTAATTCTGAGGACTCCCAAACTGTGGCGAAACAGATAACCTAAACTCATCGTTTCTTAATAACTGTCTTATTAGACTTTGTTCGTGACAAAAATAAGTTTACTAACGTTCAGAATTAGCAAAATTTATAAATATTTAACTTTGCATTTAACTTATTCTTGCCTTTTTCAGGTAGTGAAACGCAATTACTTCGTTTAGATATAGTCAACGGGCTACTCAAAGTATTTCTACACTTGCCAATCACCGAAACCGACATTCAATTAAATTTAGCAGAAGGAAATGATGCAATTACTCAAAATCATGGCATTTACCGAAAGAACAAACTATCAAGTTTATTTCAGTTGGATATATTGATTCAATCGAAGCTAGACCCAACATTACGACTAGACGATAACCAATGGCATTCTATAATATTGGCAAGATCAAACTCATTGGTATATATATATATATATATATATATATATATATATATATATATATATATATATATATATATATATAAAGTTTGAATCTCGCGAGGCGGGATCGTGCATGCGCATTGCTAAGGAGTTCCACATTTGGACGAAACGGCCGTCCAGTGCTTCCAGGTTTTCCATGATGGTCTAGCTTCAATTAACTCATGATCTTAACTATTTAATTATATATAAATGTTAAATATAAGTGATATGTTTAATTGGAAAGTGACTGTATACACATATTTTACTTTCTTAAGTCAAATGAAGACTCATTTATGGAGAGCTTCCTTCAAATTCTATAAAGTCTTTACAAAACTACCTACGCAAATAATAAACTTATACTAACTGGTAATAAGCTTAAGGACGACATACTAGGTTTTTCGTTGAAAAACCTGTACAGTGTTTGTGGAAATCTAATTCATTAATGGTAATGAATAAGAGTATTGTTAATCTATAAATTAACTAAGACCTAAATAGGACTTAAATTTTAACTTGGTAATTAAATGGTATCATACTCTTTTGGAAACCTGCCAATTATAAATTCAGTTCAATACAAGTTCGTGAACTTGTACCATAGAGAATTAAAACAATGATTCAATCTTGTTTTTTTGTCACCGGACAGTCACGAAGACAGACATTTATCTAGAGGAGCTGTTTTTTCAATAAAACGAAGCGATTTTAGTTAAAGAACCATTGATAACGGAAAATTACTGAACAGTTGTTTCGTCTCAGTTTAGAACTTTTCACCTGCAATACACACCCACTACATCACTAGTGATTGAGTTCCGAACATTCAGGACTTGTAACGTGGGCTTGCTATTTCAGTCACTGAACCTAGATCAATTTGTTTACGTTTCTAAATTTAGTCGATTTGTGATATTCTGCTACCATATTCTTAATGCCTCACCTCCGAGATCATTGATACTCATTGTACATAGATGAATAAAAAAATCATTACTTTCAATAATGACAGTCATTATTTGAGCTGTATTTTTTTACTTGATATGTTGTAATGCTTAATGTTAGAATTGATAGTATATTTTCATGATATAAGAACAGATCATCTATGCAGGTTCAAAATGACTATCAAATGTAACAACATATGAAAAATCCAATAAATATTCAAGTCAAACAGAACCAACAAACTAATCAGAATGATTCAGCCTAAATAAACGATGTTTGATCTAACCGCACGTTTATTCAACACTATAAAAAAATGCACAAATTCTTTATCAACGTTTATCAATCTAAAAAATCATGAAGTTTTAGAATTATTCCCTGAATATTTTATGGACCATCATTAAATAGTTCAATATTCATTGATGATTATAATGCCGGCTCAGTGGTCTAGAGGTTGGGGGTTTGCGCGCGAAACTGATAGATCCTGGGTTCAAATCTTGCGGGGTAGGATCGTCGATGTTCCCTGCTGAGGAGTACCATAGTAGGACGAAAAGGCTGTCCGGTACTTACAGGCTTTCAATGGTGGTCTAGCTTCAATTGATTCATGAATTCAACGACTAAATTACTATAATATACAAAAAACCCCTCCGATTAAAAATAAATGTGTTCAATCTTGTAAATATGTATTATTCTACTATACAAATAGTACATATATATTTCTTTTTTAATTATTTTTCAGTTACAAGTATACATAGATAACGACTTGGTATTTACACGTCTGCTTGGTTCATCTAATTATCAACGTTTATATTTATTACATACACAAATTATTGTTTTAGGTGGACCATATAAATTAGGTGATATATTTCAAATGAATTCAATGGAGATTGTATCAGATAATAATTTTATCGGTTTTATTTCTAAAGTAAGTAATAGATTATGAAATCAGTTACATACAGTGTCTTAATTTGAGTGTTAATTACTTATTGTTACTATGACTGATCGCTTGAAGGGTGAAATATTTATGTTAATCAGGTATTAAGTGTCAGATAATATTATTTTGTTTGACGGGTATCTAGTCATTTAGTCTAGTAGTACTAAAGCAATACTAAAGCTTAAACAATTTGATATTTTCATGGTTGAGATCACAATTCGATTGAAGCTAGACCACCATGGAAAACCTAGAAGCAGTCAACGGTCGTTTCGTCCTATTGTGCGACTTCTCAGCAGTGCTCATCGACGATCCGGCCTCATGGGATTCGAACCCAGGACCTATCGGTTTTGCGTGCGAGCGCTTAAACACTAGACCACTGAGCAGCTTTCAACGGTGTTAATGTGTAGCTACAACCGATCCACGAAATTGGGCGACACATCCACCACTGTTTTCGATGAGTTACTATCCCACAACTGAGGAGTCCCACAAGGGGACGAAACGGCCATCCACTGCTTCCAGGTTTTCCATGGTAGTCTGTGTTCAATTGATTTATGATCTCAATCACTGGAGTTACTATAATATCCACAAAACCCTTCTGATATCAATTTGATATTGTTTACTACTAAGTGATTAATTAATGGAAAAGTATAGAGAACCAATATTAGAGGCTTACTATATTGTTTTAATCTTATTAAGGAGAGAACAATGGCTTATTTGATTTGTTTGGCATATTTTGTTTGATGTATGGTCTAACACAAGGTATATAAAATTTGTAATTATTTTTCATATGGTTTCAAGATAAATGACATTCGTCATAATTGAAATTAAGATAAATTCATAGTTGGGACGGAATTCGAAGCAGAACATCACTGATATCTATTTTAATAAACATGGCACATTAAGCGCCACCGAAGTTTTCTACCATTAAAAAACATGCTGTGAGTCAAAACAGAAAATACAGTATTATAAGCAAAGGTAGATAGTGGATAGAAGTGGAATCCAAGACGCGCGCTTCGTCCTATTTGAGACTCGCCAGCCGGAGGTGCTTGCATCGCAGAGTTGATGTTCACTCTGGGACTACAACTCAATACTACCTGCTTCAAACACCATCGCGTTATCCACTCAGCTACTGACTCCTGATAGACACTTGCTTGTGTAACGGGGTGAAGTTTAAATTCACTTGATATTGTTTATTTAAATCTTTCCATTGATGTTTAAGAATGCAACAGATTCAATCGGAACTAAGACAATATCAAGGGAATACGCAAAGTATGCACATATGCCAATAAGAGACTGATCAATTACAGTGTTAATCATCAATGTGAAGATCCAAGTAAACAATACCGATTTCGATGATTTTCATTTATCACCAACTGCCTACTCACGATACTCAATATCCGTTGGTCAATTATCAACAGCAACAAACTACTACGGCAGAGAAAAAGTCCGTTCTTAGCTGAAGAGGTAATCAGGAAAAGACGTTAGAGGTGGGTGTGACATACATTGCAGAAACCATCAAACTGGATCACAAAGCAAACAATTGGAATCTTGAAGTGTAGAGAAAAAGGGCCAGAACAAGGGAATGGAAGCGGACATCAAAAGAATGAATAGTAAATGAGAACTCACGACAGAGTTAGTTGGAGATTGCTAATTAGTGATCTACACAAGGGGAAAAACAAGATCATCAAATACAATACGGAGAACGCCAATCCAATCACTCTTGATGAAAAAACTCTGGAAGATGTAGAATTCTCCACATACATGGGAAGCATCATCGATGAACAAGGAGGTTCAGATGCAGTCATAAAGGCGTGGATTGGCAAAGCAATGGTCGCATTCCTACAATTGAAGAACATATGGAACTCAAAACAACGTTCAACAAATATCAAAGTGAGAATCTTCAATACGAACGTCAACACAGTCAGTTCTACTGTACGGAGCTGAAACTCGGAGAAATACAACAACCACCATCAAGAACGTACAAGTATTTATAAACAGTTGTCTACGCAAGATACTCAACATCCATCGACCGAATACCATCAGCAACAACCTTCTGTGGGAGAGAACAAACCAACTTCCGGATGAAGAAGAGATTAGGAAAAGACGATGGAAATGGATAGGACATACACTATACAAATCATCAAACTGCATCGCGAGACAAGCCCTAACTTGGAATGCTGAAGGGAAGTGGAAAAGAGGAAGGCCAAAGAACACCTTACGTCGGATATTAGAAGCAGATATGAAAACGATGAATTACAACTGGACGGAGCTAGAAAGGATTGCTTGGGACAGGGTCGTATGGAGAATGCTGGTTAGCGACTTATGTTCCTTCACGAGGAGTAACAGGCGTAGGTATGTAAGTACGTAAGTAATTGGTGATCTATATTCAACAATGAGTAAAAGGCTTAAATAAGTAATAAATATATACATCCTTAAAGCTTTATAAAAAGATGAATTGTTGTTACCGGCTGAATCAAAGAGGCGTATTCTATTCTATTTAAGACTAGTCAGCTGCAAGTTATTACATTCAGGTATTTATGCTCACACTATGATTCTAACTTAATACCTTTTTCTTACATAACCAACCCCATTATCGACTGATCTGCCGGTAAACGTTTATCATAAGCAAATTATCTCAAATTTGTCCTTTTAACTGAAAATGTTTATTACTTGGAATATTCTACTTAAATTTTCATCATTTAATTAATTTTCATTTGTTTAACTCATTTAAATAATGTATCCAATTTCAAAAAGTCATTTAATGAATACTAAACAATATTACCATGTTAACATTTTTAGGCGGTTTTTCAAGCCGACTCACTTGAAATGAATATTCTAGAATTTACTTTATCTAATTTACATGGTTTTCGAATTCAATCAATATACCCTTTAACGAATAAAACTTATCATCATCATGATTATCAAACTAATGAAATTCAATCTTATACTATTGAACCTATTGAGTTTATACAAATATGTCATTTAATCACTATCATGAATCAAATGATTACATCATCAATTTCTTTTAATTCAACCATATTTGATGACGATGATGATGATCATATGTTTATTATATTAAAATTGCCAACATTGAATTTATTACAAAATTCTATTGAATGTATTCAACAAAATGTAAAATCTACAAACAATTTAATTCATACATTAAAATGGATTCATATAGAAATACAATTTAATCAATATACAAATCAACAAAATGGTTTATTATTTTTATTAAATGATGATACTACTAATAAATTAAAACATTATAGTTTAATTCAAAATGATCATCAACAAATAATCAATAAATATCATTTTAATAAGAATATATTGATTGGTGCCGAATTTCGTAATAATCAATTATATATTATTATACAAAAAAATAAACAAATATGGTTTAATATAAAATTAAATTCAAAATTCAATCAATTATCATTATTACATAATCGATATAAATTACTAATTAAATATACAATGATTTGGTTAATCAATAAAAATAATAATCAATCATTAAATGATTTATGGCCATTAGTCAAAATACAATATGATGATGATACAATCGATAATTGGATAACTGTTGGTCCAAATAATCAATATAGTGATGATAATAATAGTAATGATATCCATTTAACAGTATTAAATAATGAACAAGAATTGAAATTAATGAAAAATTTAAAAATAGTCAATCAAGTTTATCAAAACATTTGGCAGAATACATTATGGTTTGGTAGAACTATCTATTTAGGTGGTATTAATTATACAAAATCGATTGAAAATGGATTATTTATACCAGGTATTCAGAATATTCATAATAAATATCAACATTTTCAAGGTTGTATTACTAGGTAAGTATTCAATTGAACTATACTATTTTATGCAATTGGTTCCCTTTTATGAATTTAAATAAACCAAGAACAAATATTAATGCAGAATAGTATGAATTCATGATATTTCAAGGTTTCTCGTCAGCTGCTTACAGTCAAATATGCAATAGACTTTTACATTGAGATAAAAAATAGCGGAAAACAGTCGACATAAATGAATGTAAATGGTTGGAATGGCAAAGGTTTACAATAATAACTATATATATATTTGTAAGAACAGGTCAGAGGTTAATTGGTGTTAGAATTAAGGAAATAATTCAGGATGGGTGGTATAATAGTTTAGTGGAGTTCATAAATTGTGTGATAATTTTGGAGGTAATGAAGGATTCATGGAATTAAAACAGTGATAAGATAAGTTACGTAATAATACTATTTTAAATGTATGATATTCAATTATATGAATACTTTTATTTTACTTATTGTTCACGCTTTGTACAATGATTGACATCATTGAAGAATTTTATATTAAGTAAAGTAGGGTTGACAAAAAAATATTCATCAATTTTGAGCAAAATTATCTTAACTGATTATTATCCTATTGTAGTGAATAAACATTCTGATAGGGCAAACCAAATTGATGTGAAAATGACAAGAAAGCAAGATGATACTGTAAGAAGATCTATCTACAAGAAAACCCATGTGGAATGGCCAACTATCAAATTTCCACAGCTGGGTTCCCATCAGCCGAAAAAAAATAATAATAACACTCGCTTCAAGAATACAAAGAATCTGTAGCCCTGAGATCGTAGATGAAGAATTCGGCCTCTTAAAGAAGATACTTGTTAAAAACGAGTATCCTTTGATATTTATTGATAAGAACATAAAGCCGAAAACTCCGAAAACACAAATAATTACAGTAGAAAAGAAAACTTTATACATGAACATCGACTTCAAGGGTGATAGAGCCACATATATCTTAAAGAGGCGAATTTCGGATTCCTTAAAAAGAACATTCTTCACAGTAACATTGTGAATATTATTCTCTAGCCAATCATTGATCACCAATAATTTTAAAGATAAATTATCGCATCTGACCAACTTAATGTGCATTTACCAACTTACCTGCTCATGTGGAGCTAGGTATATAGGTCGTTCGATGCGTAATTTACCCAAAAGAATTCAAGAACATTATCCGGAGTGGCTAAAAGGAGGAGGAAAAGGCTAAATAAGAAGTTCAATAATCGAACACCTTGTGAACACAGGTCACTTCATCAAGACAGACTCTGCGTTCAAAGTCATCTACAAGGTAAGTTGAAGTCTTCCAAAGACAATTAGACTGCATCTTCTTTACATTGCCGAAGCATTAGCCATACATCTAGAAAAACTAGAATTGTGCATGCGAAAGAGACCGGTACAACCTCTTCTTCGACCATGATCTTAATGTCTTATAATTTTTTTCTCTTTCTCATACTCTCATACTCTGCTTCCCATTGCATCTTCCCCCTAAAATCCTACACCTCCAACTGGTTTATTTTTGTTTCCACGATCAATGTGATTACATTTATTTAGAATTTCAAAAATTTTCCTTATCATGCTGAGCCATCCTTTTCCCAATAATAATTTCGCCATCTATCTTTTGATGAATACTTAAGCCATTAACAATCAAACGATTATTAAACTTTCCTTGTTTTCAAAAAAATTCTTTTAATACCTTTGTTTATTTAACTTCGCTGTCGCCATGTCTCACAGAAGTTTATTATCAGTATTATTATCATCCTGTAAAAATAAGTATATGTATTTCCGGTTGTACAGCCTTGAAAATGAATTCGCCGAAAAGAGAACTCTTCAGTGAATTAATCTTTCTTATTTAAAACCAAATTATTATATAATACTAAGTTACAGACTAACTTACTAAAATATGAGAACTATGTATTAAATATTTGGTTTTTCCTTCACATTCCGTATGAGTTTTGGTATTCACAATTCCTTTCTTTTGCCCTTTCTGTTTTTTTTCTCTCAACTCAATCTTCTTAACTTTCTGCTACCATACATTTCATATACTACTTAAGTCGAAAAACATAAGTAGTATACAACACACTACCACAAAAACCATAGAATTGTTGATTAATGATTAAAACTATTAAACAAAATGACAGTATATAATTATGGTATATTGAATAGAGTTAAACACCTCAATTTTGTCACTAAACTGATAACCAAAAATGATTCCTGTATTTTATATTAAATTTCCATAACTATTCATCATTTAAAAACTACCTTCCATTGTAAAATGTCAATTACAATCAAATAAATTACATATACTTGTTTTGTTTTTGTTAATTTTTCAAATAAAATGACACCTCCGTTCATTTTTTGTTTCTTTGGATAAAAAACGAAGAGACGTATACACTAAAAATTCATTTGATACAATCAACTATTTAATTTCAATTAGTTTCCATTAACTAAGGAGTCCCACAATAGGATGAAACGACCATTCAGTGCTTCCAGGTTTTCTATGGTGGTCTAGCTTCAACTGACTCATGATCTTAACCATTAAAATTACTATAATATCCACAAAACCCATCTGATATTATAGTATAATTGAAATAAATTTATGGGCAAAATCTATCAGAATATTAGTAGTAATTATAGATATTTATAAAATTTATATTAGAATAGATTATTATCTGTTGACTTGATTCATATCTAAATATAAATAATCAAATAATGAATATTATAATTAGTTTAGTTATTTGTTCATTTGTTTGTTTGTTTTTCAAAAAAACAAATAAGGATAGATAAGAATTAAATGATTCAATGAAAATAAAAAAGTAAACAAACAAATAAACAATAAATTTAATCATTTCAATGTTCAATAGGTAAAGTATGATGATTGATCAATGAATGATATGAATGTAATACATTGATGATATGAGATGATTTATCTTGTTACTATGTATACTGGAAATATGTCGATCTTTTTTTTCGCTTTTTCAAATTAAACTGAGTAGATTTTTTTATGAGTTATGGAATTGCAATATTGTAATTTATAAATTCTAATTTATTGTTTAATATGTAATTTATTATATTGGTTATATGATGAATGATTGAATTCAAGACAAATGTTTTGTTGTATTTAAAGTTACTCAATTGAATGTACTTAAATACTGGTGTTGGTATTTACTACAAAGGACTCGAACGTATTACCTTTTACATTATATGTATAAACATTTTTTTGGGGGTGATAATTAGAAGTATTTGATTGATGGTATTAACTAAGAATCCCTGAAATAACGTAATTTAGATCAATAAAATTTAGATGAACATGAACGAATGTATTGTATTTGGAATTCGAAACCAGGCAGAAATCAAATCCAAAGGAATTATTATTTCGTACAAACACCACGATTCTTCATTGACCTAAGGAGTTCAGATTTTATTTATTTATTTGTTTTAACACATAGATATTTGTACAAGGAGGCGACAAATACATATGCGCTACACAAGTCTCATTTGATGTGTGTGAGAGCTGTGATACTGTCCGGGTGCCCAAACCAAACCAGGTGGTTTTCTTAGGAAGCCACACCCCGAGCCTTTGACTTAAAGGTCTGATCCATAAGGCAGTGGAGCATCGTAAGGAGATCCAGTCCCATGACAGCTGGTGACCAACGATTGGTTCATACGCCATTTGTTCTTTCAGGATACTGGAGCCCATGTGCACCATTGATTTGGAATCGAAGTTTTTCAGCTCCTCTAGATGGCCTATCCATGTCCACTAACCCGGTTAAAGCACCGAAAGTTCGCTTTTCGTCCTCTCAATTTCGTAAATAACACCCCCACTGCGATAACGCAGTAAGACTTCCCTGATAGTGGTTGTATGCTCGTGGCCGTGTGAGAGCATTTCGAGAGGGAGAGTGGACTCTCCCCCACCAGGGTATTTGGGGGCAAAGTGAGTTCAGATAGCCATTAATTATTCTATGGATATAAAGGTTACATCAATTTAAATTTAGATTTTGTATATGTTATCTTTTATCAGAAATATTTTGTTCTGAAATACTTATCATGGTGATAAGTATTAACACCAGTCAAAAATTGTAATCATTTCTAAACATATGAATTATCAGTTGTTTTAACCTTTCAATTTGAATATCATATTTGCAAATATGAATGGTACTAACTTTAAAGCATATTTTCTTTACAACGAATCATAACACCGAAGAGATTCGTATTTTTATATCTTTTCCAAATGAAATAAATGCAATTTTTATGTTTTTATTCTTAATTAAAGACAGAGGCTCAATTTTTTTTGCCAAAGATATTGTAACTACTTATTTATTGAAACTATGAGATCACATGAAGATTTATTTTTTTTAAATACCACCACATTTTCTCATTTATGTTACGACCTGATTTTAGTTAAATAACCACTGAAAATTAGAAAGCATTAAACAGTTATTTTGTTCTACTATGACATTCTTCAACAATGCAAAGTCACAGTCCCATCTAGGACTTAACCTGCAAAATTCAGTCTAGTGCGCGAGGGATTAACGTTTAGATCTGGAAGATTGTATCAAATGACACAGATATTTAATTTTAATCAATGTAAAAGATTAATTTACCATATCCTATAACCTGCGATGTACAAATGTTTCGCATTCAAAATAGTCAATTCCCTTCAGTTACAGCTTCACACTGGAAACTCGTATGCTTGAGACTAAAGGTCATGAGTCGTGGATGATTTAAAATAAGAAGAATCAAAATTATTTTACAAATGGTTTCATAGAAATAAACTCTGTCTTAACAGATTAGAAATTTAAGAAAAATAATCTTTTTTAGTGATGTTGTATTCCATAAATCCTATGGTTTAGTAAGACAATTTTCATTAACGTTCAGGCCAGCATTATTAGTGTCTATTCTAAATAGAAAAGTGAATGAATGATTGTACGTAAAACAACCAGTCAAAATTCATAAGCTGACCCTCTACCTTAGGAATTGAAACACGACCTGATAAACAAATATCTGAAATAACTCGTTATCATTTGTGATTGTTTGAAAATGAGACTTTCAAATTATGCCGATCATCTCAGATTTGATTAAAATTAATTTGTGATGCTTCTATTTAAGTCACTTATTTAATGACTAGAACACCACAGCCTTGTATGTTGTACCAGATTTACAAAAGAGTGCTTTTCACGCAAATGAACTTCATCATCAAAAGAGATATTTATCACGGGGAATAAAATAAGTCAACTAAACTACGAATCTTAATCATAAAGACACTTAATGATGCAATCGATCAGTTTGATTTAAAAGATACATAATAAACAAAAGTTTAAATATCATTAATACGAACAATGGGAAGATTCAAGCCTTTAAAAGTGAACCATAATTAATTCCTGTTGCAACATCCAGTAACTCTCTGAACTCAGTTGCTCAGTGGATAAAAATTTAGGGGGTTTAAATCAGAAGAAACTGGTTGTGAGTTACTCTCTGAACATTAACTGTGCGGTACAGGTACATTCAATTGGTTAGTCCTCAGTAAAGTGGAATACGTGTTCTAGATTCCACTGCATTAACTATACAACTTTACTTATAAATGCTGGTGACATAAAGACATCATTGAAGCAATTTACTCAGGAAGCATATATATCATAAGTGGTTGATCAGTTGCCGTTTATTATATATTGAAAAAGAAAAGATGAAAATTATCACAACTGATTCACACTAGGAATTCATTATTTTCATCAATAAATTATATTCTGAAATAGTAATATATTTATACTTAAAACTACTGACTTAACTATTGTAAATATTGTGAATACATTGAAGTTGTCTACTTATTTTAACATTTTTTTAATATTTTTAAAAGGGTAACAATTAATGGTTTACGCTTGGATTTACAATCAGCTTTTCAAGCACGTATACGTTATTTACAAAGTATCCAACATGAAAAAATTCATACAATTACAAAATTTTCTTTACCCTTTAAGTGTGACAATAATAATGTGACAACAGAAATGTTCTCAAATATTTGCTCATCATTTGATTCTGATAAATTATCATGTTCATTAAATAAACAATATCATCATCATCACCATCATTATCATTATTATTATTATCATCGAAGAGAGAGATTATTAAATTCCTATTTGTATAACTTCACTGAATTAAAAGATTGTGAGTTATGTCTAGTAGTTCAATATGTGTATTTCATTTTCTTTTTCTCAAATTTAAAAGTTTGGTGTTATACAGTAGAGATATTGATGATCCTTAACAGTTATTTATTTTGTAGACATCTAGACATTATATATATATATATATATATATATATATATATATATATATATATATATATATACTTATATTCCTGATCTTGTGGCCATATTCATAAACAAATGAACTTAAAACTCACTAATTTTATTTTTACCCTGAATATCATTTTAAGCCATGTTTTGTCAGATGGTTTAGTTGAGTTAGTCTGGTATAGGATTGAAATTAGTTGGGGACATAATGAAAATAATGGAGTAAAACATTTTTTTGAAGTTGTAAATAAATATCAATCCGTAGTTCACAGTGATGAATCAACACGAAACTGATTGTATGGTGAAGAATCGTACTATGTTATAAACTGATTTATAGACTACTGTATTTCGACTCAAGTGTATGATTCACGCAAATATCATAGAATGTACACTTTCAGAAATACCAAACCATAGTAGTATAAATATCAAGTACACTCCTATTTCAGTAGTTTGCTGTGTATTATAAATACCGCTTTAAGACTACAAGACGTTTACTAGGAAACTTAAAAATCCTGATAAAGTGGTCAAATATAATGACCATTTAATTACTTACGCCTGTTACTCCTCGTGAAGGAACATAAGTCGCTAACCAGCATTCTCCATCAAACCCTGTCCCAAGCAATCCTTTACAGCTCCTTCCACTTGTTATTCATCCTTTTCGTATCTGCTTCTATTTCCCGACGTAAGGTGTTCTTTGGCCTTCCTCTTTTCCACTTCCCTTCAGCATTCCAAGTTAGGACTTGTCTCGCGATGCAGTTTGATGATTTGTGTAGTGTATGTCCTATCCATTTCCATCGTCTTTTCCTAATCTCTTCTTCATCCGGAAGTTGGTTTGTTCTCTCCCACAGAAGGTTGTTGCTGATGGTATTCGGTCGATGGATGTTGAGTATCTTGCGTAGACAACTGTTTATAAATACTTGTACGTTCTTGATGGTGGTTGTTGTAGTTCTCCGAGTTTCAGCTCCGTACAGTAAAACCGACTGTCTTGACGTTGGTATTGAAGATTCTCACTTTGATATTTGTTGAACGTTGTTTTGAGTTCCATATGTTCTTCAATTGTATGAATGAGACCATTGCTTTGCCAATCCACGCCTTTATGACTACATCTGAACCTCCTTGTTCATCGATGATGCTTCCCATGTATGTGAAGAATTCTACATCTTCCAGAGTTTTTCATCAAGAGTGATTGGATTGGTGTTCTCCGTATTGTATTTGAGGATCTTGTTTTCTCCTTTGTGTATTTTGAGGCCTACTGATGCAGAGAATGCTGCTACACTGGCTGTCTTTATCTGCATTTGTCCGTGTGTATGCGATAGGAGGGCTAGGTCATCTGCGAAGTCCAAATCGTCTAATTGGTTCTGGACTGTCCATTGTTTGCCGTGTTTCCCCTCAGATGTCGATGTCTTCATAATCCAGTCGATCACCAGAAGAAAGAGGAAGGGGGGAGAGTAGGTAGCCTTATCTCACTCCGGTCCTTATTTGGAATGCGTCTGTCAGATGTCCTCCATGCACGATCTTGCACTGTAGTCCGTCGTATGAGTTCCGGATAATGTTGACAATCTTCTCAGGAACTCAAACACCCTTTAAAACGAATTAAAATTAAGAATGTTGAAATATGATCCGTTCATCTTATAATCAATAACGAGAGAAATGAAAAAGGTCAATTAATTAGTTTTTACACTGAATACAAACATATAAAATGATAAATATATTTTTATTATGTTCCAATGAGTAGAAAAACTGTATTTCTGATGTTTCTACTCAATGGAATATAACAAAAATATATTTATCATAAACTTTCTATCCAACGCTCAATTTATTTGAAACTATCAAGTCTAACCTTGGCATCAATACCTATAAACGTATAAAAATGCTAGATAACAATGATAATCTGAACAAAAAGGTCTATCCTTTCGTGTTTATTGCGATTATATGCAAATAAATTGACTAAACAATTTATGAAGGAAATGAAAATGGCCATATGGTGTTCTCCTGTACTCACAGGTTAAGTGTGATCATATAAATCCCTTTGTTTTTTTCAGTATTAAAACCGAAACATTGAAACATAAGTTAAATTGAATGTGTTCTATTAGATAATTTTAATGGTATCCTTTACACTAACTATTGTACTTTTAGTATCAAATATATGAACGAGGATAAAGTTGTATATTTTTATCACACTTTTTTTTAATTTATGAAGTTTAGTGTGATCTCATTTAAAGTGAGTCTATAAATCTAGTTAATCTGGAAGATAAATATAAGTGTGATAGATAACCTACCTTTTTACATAAACTCGTCACCACATGTCAGAATTTACTTGTTACAGAATTCACTCACCTATATATTAATGTGAAAATATGATAACAAGCTAATAAAAGCGAACTATTTTATCTTTAAAGAGGAAGAATGTATTTGTAAAATATCAGCAAAAGAATTTGAAGCAATCTGGTTCAAGCTATTTCAAGGAAATATAATCAAACATCAAAATTATCGAATATAATTAGGTACACTGTTCTTTGGTTTACTGTATACTGAATATGTCATCCAATCAATGTGAACAACGTTTAAAGTATGTATTTACATTAGTGTGCATAAGAGACATGTGGTGTGAAACGAAAAGTGTTAAGATAACAGATTGTTTGTAAACGTAAGTGATGTGAAAAGAAATTTCATTCATTATATATTGTGAAGTTATTCGTTCAAATTTAGACGAAGGTTCTTATTTATTTTCTTTAGTTCTGTGGTTTCTTTTTGTTACGTCTTGCTGATTGGACGCTATATTCGTTCCTAAGCTATTCTGATAATCCGCACGCTAGAACTATACAGCGACCTGAACACCAGAAAGAAGACGCAAAGTATGAGAGGAATACTTTACTACAACGTTCGTTTTTGTACATAAAACATGGGTATTGATAGATGTTAGCGTTTGTTAAATCAACATCATATTTCGGCCAACCCGTTAACGACATATCATGCTACTGACCAATAGTAGCACGTCACGTTAGAATTCTAGAATGCTCCATCATGCTCTGATTGACTGGGACTCTTCGGCTCCTTATGATCTTCTGGAGGCTCCGTTGAAGTTCGAAAGCCGACTCAACACTTTTTAAGCTCATGATTCTTATTCATTTAAATATTACTTTGATAAATAATTCTATTTGACCTAAAGTAGATATTTTCATGTTTATTTTTTCGTGTATTTTATTTATAAAGCTACACCAATTATACATTTTAATGGATTACAATTAATACGTATACAATTGCCTGTTCAACAATATTCATCATTATTATGGATTGTATTTATGTTTCAAACGAATTATTTAAATGAAACTATTTTATATACAATACCTAATATACAATATGAATTAAATATGATAGATAAGTTTATATCAAAGAAAATAGATAAGAAGATGTTCACATATGAAGAAATAAATCAATTTATTTTACCTGTACAACAATTAAAACAACAACAAAAAACAATGAATCAACAATTCATTTACAATGAGACGGTTGACAACTTTCAAATATCACTTGTAAATGGTTATATTCATGTGAAATATATTATCAGTAATAAACATGAAGTAAGTCTAATCATAATGGATGTGATATGTAAAACAGTCATATTATTTTGTAAGGTAACTTTTTTTAATACAGAACAGGTTGTTAAGTTATAAGTAAAGATGGATAGTGACTGGTCGTGTAATCTAGGATGAGTGTTTTGTCCTATTTGGGATTTGTTAGTTGGATGCACTTATATTCTAAAGTTGATGCTCACCCCAGGACTCGAACCTTGTGCTGTTTATAAATTATTTCAGTTTCATATTTTTAACTTATAGCAACTCACATGCAATTGAGTTTGTTCTCATTTAACTCGGTTAAGCCCTTTTGTTAACTAATTTAGCGGACAAAGTCATCCGTACTATAACAACTTAGTGTACCTTTATTATTGTTGTGCTTGCATGAAATATGTATGCTTGAACATTACTTACCGCCTACGCATATATTCATTCTACTAGCTCTATTGTTAGCTGGTTAATTGATTTGATGATCAATTCATTTCCCTATATATATACATGTACATTTACACTTAACACTCTCGGTTCGCTAACTCATTCAACTACCTCACTGATTTGTGGTCTGAGTTGTTTGCTAATAAAACTGTAGTCGCTGCTTCTCTTTACCTTCTGATTTCAAACACCCTTATGATAGCGGTTACGAGAGTGATTGGTTAACGAAGCACAGCCACTATAAACTTGTTTACTAATTGTAGGCTGTGAAAATTATTATAAAATTTGTTAAACTACATGAACTCGACTACATAGATTAGTAATGGATTAGAAAATGAAATAATTAGATGTGTTTTTTATTCTAAAGATTTATAATATTTTTAAAGATATATTATTAATAGAGAATCGAATTATCTCGTTATTGACATTCAGGAGAGAATTTTCTATTGACACATGTGTATCCTATGAACTTTTTCTAGAATAAGTTATTGAATTGGAAGCTTGTTAGAATAGATGGATTGTGGCTGGAATTGGAATTAAGCAAGAGTGTTTCATCCTATGTAGGATTCAGCAGCTAAATATACACTCATTCCCGTGTTAATTTATTCAGTAGCTCCTAAACAAAATACTTCGATTTGAAGATAATTTCAACCAATGACTGATTTCAGCTGTAAGATCATTGAAAACTAGTAACTTAAGGGTCTTTTAGCAAATACGTAGAGTTGTGAGTCGATGGATATTGATAAAATGATCTGCTCGATTCAAACTCAGTGGTCTAAAAAACATTCTGTTTACGTCAAGGCTCAAAACGTTTAAAATTTTTCTAGTGTATGAATGTTTTGAGTGCTCACTGATGAAGTCACAACTAGAACGAAATAATCGTCTAGTATTTCATAGTGTCATAAACTTATAACGAAAGCTAACCATAAATTAAATTAGTTCTCACTAAAAGAAGTCTATCACAAAAAATACTTCCCTTCTATAAGTAGGAATCACGTTTTGTCGCTAAGATAGCAGGACACTTAACTATTTATGGAGATTTTCAGACGAAGTTGTTTTAGACGTTTTGTATTGACTTTATTTTCAACATTATCATTTTAAGTTAAATATCATTATCTGTTTGTATAACTAGTTAATTATTGTTTACTGTCATGACGCATGAGAGAATCCACCTAATGTAGGAGCACCATACATGAAATAATGTAAATTTCTAGAATCATACCTGTGAGTTCAATATAAATGCTAAATATAACAATGAAATGTTTTCAACAAGACATAGAATATATGTCAATGAGTCAATTATATGAGAAAACCCCTATTAGTAAACATTACTCGATTGTTAGTTTATTGGATAGAATTGTGGTCTGCACAAACAATTTGTTGTGATCTGATTTTAATGAACTAAAGAACGATCTATCTAAATAATAATGAAAAACGACTTAGACTGATCCTAGCAATAACTTTTGTCTTAATGAAACACAAAAATGAAAAATGAAAAAAATATTATACTGATTGGTCAATCAATAACGGAAAAACTATCCAATAGCATAATTCAAACTACGTAGCGGTATAAATCCACAATCTTATTGTATCAACCAACAGATATCTAATTCAGTCATATGATTCCTCGTATAAATGTACTACTTTTATTGCATTAATGATACTCTTTACAATAAGTATAATTAATTGTAAACATTAAACCTACTTTAGGTTCTAATTAATTGGTTGATGTTAGACACTAACACCATTGGATGCCGGCTCAGTGGTCTAATAGTTAAGTGCTCAGGCGCGAAGCCAGTAGGTCCTGGGTTCGAATCCCGCGGGGTGCGGGATCGTGGATGCGCACTGCTGAGGAGTCCCATACTAGGACGAAACGGCCGTCCAGTGCTTCCAGGTTTCCAACGGTGGTCTAACATCAATTAATTCATGATCTCAACCAAAAACTTAACAATCTCCACAACCCCCATACTGATAATTACTTTATTGATTAACTAACTGTGAAAACAACTAATTACGTCTGTTTCTGTTTTACATAATCACTGAGCTTTATGTGAATATGATTAATATTTCTTTATTTTTCTTTTCAATAAGGTATATGAATTACCTGTCTTTTTATCCGATGGAAAATGGCATTATTTTGAATTGATTCATAACAATTCATATATAACTGTTTATTTGGATAAAAATGTATTTAGTCAAAGTAGGTATACATTTTATAGGAATATTTTTTTAATAGAGAAAATTATATTTGCATTTGAAATATTCCCATATTGTAAATTTAAAACAAAATGTATGGGCGAACAATATTGTTTTCGATTAGATCTTCATTAGGCTTTACTCTAATATACAGCAATATTTATATACATATATGAAATTATTAAACCAACCAAGGTAGTCTATGAGTCAATGATAACAATGAAGACGATTACATAATAAGTTTCGCAGGTTGAAATCATGAGTCAGTTGAAGCTAGATCAGCATGGAAAACCTAGAAGCACTGGACGGCCGTTTCGTTCTATTATGGGACTCCTCAGCAGTACGCATCCACGATCCCCCGTGCGAGATTCGAACCCAAGACCTGTCACTCTTGCACCAAGCGCTTAACATACTAGACCAGTGAGCCGGCATCCAATGGTGATAATGTCTAATTTCAACCAATCCACGAAGTTGCGCCACCGTACACCATTGCGGGATCGTGGACGCGCGCTGCTGAAGAGTCCCATACTAGAACGAAACGACCGTCCAGTGCTTCCAGGTTTTCCATGGTGATCTAGCTTCAAGTGACTCATGATTTCAATCTGTGAAATTTCTAAAATTTCTACAAACCCCTTCTGACAATACATAATAAGTGAAAAGTACAAATTGGTAGTGTGATAACAGGTGAATTAGTTTCGATAAGAATAATAAAGGCTCAAATCAATGTTACATAATCAGAAATAGGTCAATGATTAGAAACATATAGACAGTGAGATAACATTTATAAAATTAAAAGATGACGTAATAAGAAGCAATAAGAAGTGTACAGATAATTTAACCGTGAAACGTATCTTTGATTTCATATATGCATATAACTATTACTGTATATTAGAGTAAAACCTGATGAGGATCTAATCGAAAACACTATCGTTCGCTTATATATGTTGTTCTACATTTGCATTTATCAATCAATGTTTATGTTAATTCATTTGATACTAGTTTACACTTAAACAATTGTATTTTGGTAGAGAATAAAATTGTTAAACTTTACATAGGGTGAAATTAAATCATTTTGGAAAAAGTTAATATAGTATTTAGATTTAAGTTAGTAGTATATAAACTAGAAAATTAAATTCTTCTTTTGTTACATTGTGATTGAAATCAAATAAATGTAATTATCTACGCTTGCTAAAATATTTCCTTAGATGAAACAATTATTAATTATAATATTAATCATTATGATAAACTAATTTAAGACTTATGAAATAATTAAGAAGCTCACTTCTATGTGAAGTAAGCTCTGATGATGTTATCATTGAACAATATGAAATGTTCTGCAATTGAACTGTTTAACTTGGGGGATTCAACAATAACAAAAGTATCTATCTGAGCTGCATATCTTCTTCAACAATAATCAACACTATGATTTACATTGGTGACTGCATTATATTTTGATACCATATGCATATAAAATAATATTTAAGAATAGCAAAAATTATTAAACGTTTGTGATGTAAGCAGTATTTCTGATCGCTGAGTCTAAATGATATAAACGTTATGTATAGGTAAACTAAAAACTATATTATAATCAAGAGACATGTTTATTAATAATCTATCTGTTTAGTTGTTTGAAGTTTGTTTATTAAAATTCATGAACAATAGATATTTTCTCATAGTTAAAGTCAACAAATTATCAATCAGTGGCTATCTAAGCTTAGTAGGTAAGTGTAAAATGAGTGGAGCGTTTAATGTGAAATGCACTAGATCTTGATTAAACCACGACTGATGAATATCAAGGAGTTCTAGATAAATGTCCTATCCTAGCATAAGACTTTTCAGTAATGCATGACTACAACTCAACCGGAGATCAAATCATGAACTTTCGAGTATCTCAATGAACGATTACTTTTCAAACTGAATTATCTTTGCAAACATATTTTATTCTTTTAATTCAGTTTTTTTTCAAAAATAAAAATTTACCTTCAGAAAAATAATAACTGTTCTCTTTTTCTATTCTTTATTTTTATAGGGACAAATTTAACCATTACAGAATTACCTGTTCAACAAATAATTATCGGATCATCCAATTTATATGAATCGTCATTATTGCCAATAAATTCTAGGGTTAACCAAATTACTGGTTATAATGGTATGATTGCGCATTTTTTATACAATGGTATCGAATTAATGTCATACAAGAAAAAACATGTACACATTCAATATCCATTAAATGAAAGTAATTTAGAAAATAACTTTGAATTTACACTTCATCAGTGGGTGGTTGAATTTACTGCTCAATTATTTGAATATAACGTAGGATATAAGCCAACCAGTTATGACTTCCCTGTACAATTTAAACAATCCAAATGTTATCTTTCAATAATCAATAAACATTTCGAAAATGTGCCATTACTTTTTAGGTTTTCTTTTAAAACATCAATTGATCAAGGTATTTTATTATTTATTTTAAACAAATTAAATGACAATTTTCTACTTATTGAATTATTCAGTGGTCATTTATTATTCTCAATACATTTTAATAATGAACTAATAACAAAGAAAATAACAACATTGTCAATAAATAAAGGAGTATTGTTTAATGATTCACAATGGTATACAGTTGAATTATTACAGTAAGAAAGATTTTGTTTGATATTTTATTAAATAATAACATATTAAATTCACTTGGTGTTGTTTTATTTGTATCTTCCCACCAACTCTAGGATGCAGGTAACGAGTCCAAAATAGGACGAAACATGCGTCCTGAATTACACTGCTAGACACTATCCATCTTTGCTTAAAAAGCTTGCGACTTAAGAATATATCAAGGCAATCCGCACAGGAAGCACATATGCCAATATGAGACTGATCAATTGCAGTCCTAAATAACAATAGGGACATGTAAGTAAAACAACACCAGGTGAATTTAAACTTCACCCCATCACACAAGCAAGTGGCTATCAGGAGTCAGTAGCTGAGTGGATAACGCAGTATCGTTTGAAGCGAATGGTACTGGGTTCAAGTGCCAGAATGAACATCAAATCCGAGATTCAAGTACATTCAGCTGACGAGTCTCAAATAGGACGAAGCGCGCGTCCTGGGTTCTACTGCTGTACACTTAGATTGTTTATTGATTATTTGAATGTATTTGTTACATTTACCATATGTTCTGTTGTCGAACATTCTATACATCTAACTCTCTATTGTTAGATAAGAAGACCTTTCTCATTCGAATTTCAAATTTTGTCAATGATTCAAACTGATCAAACTTAGTAGGTTGTGTGTAGTTGAATAGAATGTAACTACACAATGAATTAATTATATAGTTTGCAATTAATATTGCCTTACTGCTCTATTTAAATGTGTAAAGTAATAAATTTCAGGTGAATTTTGAGTGTTTTTATCTAGTTCAATATATTGATTATTTCATGATATTTGGTCGATTATGTTCATTTGTTAACTATAATAATAATAATACTAATAATAATAATCAACCAATCCATTGAATCAAGTGTTCATTTACCAAGCTATAACATAAATAATAAACGAATGACTAAAATAATAGATAGATGTTTTTTCCAGAATATTCTATTGACAACTCAGATTAAATGGACGAACCAAACAGATTTAGAAATAATCGATCTCGGATTTTGGCATGGAATACATTCACCCATTTGTCTAACTAACGTTTTGGTATTTTAGCCGATATCAGTTCGTGATGACAACTATAAATCTGATGACCGATCCTAAGCATTTGCTGTAAATCTTCACACTGCTTTATAACCCTCATTTAGCCCTAGTAAGTAGGTGGACATTCTCAAGTTCACCAAGGTGTCACTTAAAGGTCATTCATAAATTATAGTCTCATGATAAAATGTTCAACTAAGGAGATTAATAATAATTTGCAAGTAATTTGTTGCATATACATATAATGTGTATCTGCAGAAAAGAGAACAATTCTTCTCATCAAAATGTTAACTTTAATTATTAAACTGTATGGTTTCACCTAACCATAATATTAAGGTTAAGTACGTATTTCAAATAACAGTTACTTTTTTCTGGTTAGCGTTTTTTTAGAGAGTTAGTTTCTTACGGGATGGGGAAGTTAACCCCATGTCCAACCCTCCTCCTTTATTCGAGCTTGGGGCCCGCATTAGATTAATTTCACACTAAAATTCTATATGTGAAAATTACAACAGATTTTTTAATTCTGTTTATTAATTTCAGAGAGAATAAAGTAAGTGACATATTGACAATTCGAATAAATACACAAACATCAATTGAGACATTCACTAATTTAGATTTAAATGAATTGCTTAATTATAAACAATCATTTTCAAATTATGTAATCAATATTGGTGGTTGTTCTATGTCAGATTTTATGAAATTTCAAGGTAAAATCAAATCTAGATTTGGCTTTCAAGTAAGTTTATTTCAATATGTATGTAATAGAATTAAAAATATAATTGAAATAATAAATCTTATGTAATAGTTTGATGTTTTATTGTGAGATGGTGAAAAAAAATTGTAGCTCAGGTGGATGATTTTGATAAAGTTTTGTACTTTAAACTGAATGGTTTGATCGTGGAGCTTTCAATGTTCTTCTGAACGATTACATCAGCATACACTTCAGGTAGACTTCTACCTGCAGTTGGTGTTTTATTGTTTTATATATTTAAAACGGGGTATTAATAATCACTATTCGAATACAGGTATGAACTCTTATAAACAATAATAAATTTGATATCAGATACATCAAATTAAGGAGCCTTAAATAAGATGAAAAGCTTATCTTGGATTTCATTGTTAGCCACCATCTAATTCTGCTGAATAATATTATTTATGTTGAATAAATTGGTAGCTATCATGGCTAATCAGCCTACTAAATAGTGGTTTGAAGTTGAAAGCGTTAAGTATAAATCATAGAATAAATATCGACTGTCGATTTCTAGATAAAATCAAACAGACATTGAACTTTATTACTAGTCAATATCTGAAAAATATGTAACTGATATAATTAAACTATTTAAAGTTAATTAATGACTTTTATGATTTTATGCAATATCACAGAACTTGATAAATATGAAATTACTAGAAGGAGTTTCATGGAGATTTTAGTAATTTCACTAGTTGAAGTCATGAGTCAATTATAGCTAGACCACCATGGAAAACCTGGAAGCACTGGACGACCGTTTCGTCCTGTTGTGGGACTCCTCAGCAGGGGTCGAACCCAAGGTAATCAGATCTCGCGTTAAGCACTTAACCATCAGACAGCTTAGCTGAGGTTTACATTTCTGATTCGTACGATTGCGTAACTCCCCGTAGTCATGCTTTTTGATAATGTCTAAAATTCAACAATGTATTATTGATGGAAATTATTGACGAAGATAAAGTTTACGACTACGCAATAAGTATTTAAAGATTTTCATATTTGCTAATTGTTATCTTACTTTTGTTCAATAAAAAAAATAATGCCATAGGGTTGTATTGCCAATTTCCAATTGAATCACCATCCAACAATCAATCTTCTACAAATGGCTAAAATTTATCCGAGTCTTGATTGTAATGATCATATAGTATATGGATGTGAATCAATGACTTCTGGTTGTGCATCATCACAAAATAGAAATAATAATATCTATCCATTTCAATCAAGTCTTCATGAGTTTGAATCTAGCGATGATTCGAGAAATGTATATATGTGTTATAATGATGGAGAATGTTTGGACAAATTAAATACATTTTATTGTGCATGTGATTTGACTACGTTTCAAGGTCATCAGTGTAACGAAGGTAAAGCTATTTTACTTCAATTAAGAATTTTATGGATTGAGATTAGTTTTAACACTTTCAATATTCAATAAGTGTGTTGCACCCAGTAATTTTGACAGTTAATGAGTGAGTGTCAGATATTAAGGTGTAATTTTTATTAGAATTTTCATTTCTAGCCCTAATTTTTATGAATGTTCTTCATCCAAATTATTGAATCGCTCTACACCGATATGTGAATTACAGGCAGTAGAGGATAAATCTAGATACGTTAAATGAAGATTTTAGTATAAAAAAATTTTACTCCAAGATTTCGAAAGTGCAAGATACAACTCACTAATTGAATATTGATAACCTTGTGAATAATCTGAATCATTTCATTATCAATAGAATTAAATAAACATAATTTAATAAAATAAACTGAAAATTTAGTGCGTTTTAGTGAATTCGTTTAGCAAGTGAACTAAACCTGTTGGTAGTCAAGTACAAGCCTTAGAAGGCGGTCTGTCAGTCTAAAACAATGTAAGACATGGCATAAACACTGATCAGTTAAAACTGGCAAAACATTATCAACGGAAATATATTATGAACATAATAGTAATGTCTGTAGTTGGGTAAACTATTCAATATGAAGAATATGTCTCAGAGTAATCAACTTTTTAGAACACTATCGAAACTCAAGTTGTAAAGGAGGACGAAGAATGAATGTATGCAGAGTAATCTTTTCACAAATATGTTGTTTAAAATGTTAAGATAAATCCCTCTTATACTGAATCCCTACAATACAAAACTAATGCTAGAAGTTATGTCAAATAAACTGAAGTCATTTAAATTGAAGGATGAATTGATGAGATCAAAGTATCGTCGTATAAAAATCAATAGGTTAATATGTTTTATTTACAATTAAATTCATCGACGGTCTTTATGATTAACTCAAGTTTTATATTTTTTTATCTATCTGATCTACCTAATTCTATTCATTTAGTTAAACTTATGTAAGTTACAATAAATGTAATTGACATATACCAGGATGTCTTTTGTTTAAGCCGAAATTCTTCAACAAAGGTGGTTTTATTTAGCTTAACTGATCATGCGGTATTAAGCTGAATACTTGAACTTTCAAAAAAAAACAAAGAAGGTTCTTATATTGAAGCGTTGTTAACGTTTAAGGCACATTTCACTGATTGACGTGATTGAGACATGATTAACATATCTCTAACTATTGCCTACCTCGAAGCTCTGTTTTTAATGTAGGAGAAGTTAGATGACAGCTGGGAAGCTGACCGAACCAATTTATGGCATGGGTCGTGTTGGTTGGTTCAGACTATCTAGCAAGTGCTTAAGCCTAATATCACTGAGATGGCTTCCAATCGTTTACATGTCTAATTTTAATACTTAATATAATTTGGAGTGGACGAAACAACTATCCAGTACCTTCTCATCGTCAATAGTTGTCTAACTAAGATCAATCTGTGATGTCAAATATACTTGTAAAACTAAGAAGTAAACTTGAATTATGTACATTTATTCAAATAATTAACTCTTCTGGCTTTTTTAAATAAAATATTATATTTAACTAGTTGGTACGACTTTGCACTTTGGTAAAATCGGTTCACTCAGTGCCTATTTGTTCAATTCCAATGAAACTTTAACTAATGCAAAACAATATACTGGATTTGTACAATTTGAAATTGAGTACAATGATTTATATACCGTAAATGATATATTCACTTTCGGACTACAATTAGATATAAAAAGGTTGCATCATACTGACAAGTTGAAATCAATTGATAGTGATTTTATCACTTTGTTATTTGCTGGAAATCAATTTCAAAATAACTTGACTTATCTTCATATCTATTTGGTAAGTGAATGATTATCTTTGTACAACTAGATTACATTTGACAGACTGAATTATTAAGAACTCTCAAGGTAGTATGTGTGATAAAAACGTATTTTTAATGTGCCTATTTACAAAATATGTTTTAACGTATTGATAAAACACTAACAGTATGTAATCCATGACGCTTCCAGTAAGATACAAAGTTGATTTTTCAAGTGTATTGTTATTTTCATCCAGAAAGAAATACTAGAAACTTTCGCTTCTTATCAGTGGTTTACAATGACCTACAAATGGTGACACAGGATCTACCGATGTCACTCAGGATATGGACTAGGCTGTTTGTGAATAGTTTAGACGGTGGGATCTTATGTTCCGGGGATACACTTAGGTATCTATTATGTCCTTCTAGACATCGTAACACAATGGTTTTACTTCTTTTGAGCATAATTTATTTCACTCATAGGTGTTTTAGAGATAACATAAGGGCTTAGACATATCAATTTGATTTTGGATGACTGGAGATAGTTGTCGGAAAAATCGAAGTTTTAGATTTCATGCTGTTTGGTACTTATCAAGGCAAACTTGCATTAGGGATTAGACAAACATGAAATTGGTCATTACTCAGTGATTTAAGGTATTGTGCTTATTGAAAGAAATCCAAAATTTTTAAGGAAATCTAACTCTCAATAATTCTACAACAGATTTCAATACGTTATCATGACTATTTCCATTTACTTAGTGTTGAATGATTTAAACACCAGAAAATATGTACCTAACACTAAGGTATTAATTTTTCCAGTATTTATCTATTCCGATCCCATTTTGTAGTATAAGATCATTATTAGTCCATATTTATTAAAAAAATAAATAATTTATTGCTTACAGGAACAAGGATATTTAAAAATGAAATTTTTATTGGATGGTTCAATGATTGTTATTGATGGTCCAAAGATCAATGTACAAGATGGATATTATCATAGGATTCGGGGAATTAGATCCAGAAATCAGATTCTTCTTGAAGTAGATCAATATCAAACTGTTTATCGTTTGTACAGTAGGTTAAATATTTATCTATCACTGATTTTTCTTAAAATATTCTATTGTCTACAGTTCAATCAGGTTATTAAAAGAGAAGTGGATTACTTTATTTTACAGCACTCTTTCATTTGTAATAAATGAATTTTCGACAGAAATATATTTTCATACGAAATATAGATGGATAATTTGCATTGTCATTGAGTAGTATTGAAGATTGCTTGAAGTTAGAGATTTAAATCAATGGATACCAGCTCAGTGATTGAAAGTTTGAGAGTTCTTCAGAAGAGATGATTGCCCTGGGTTTGGTCCCCATCAGGGTTCTGGGTCCACACTGATGAGGATTCTAATAATAGGGCAACACAACTGTCCAGTGTGTTTCTGGTAGTTGTTCTACTAAGATGAGTGTAGCAAACTATGAAATAGCTAAATCTATCTCAGTGAAAGATTATTGAAGTGAAAAATTTGTTAACGTTTATAGTTTTAATCAACCTAAAGTTGTACACCGTATAATATTAGTATGAAGTATCATGTCTTGTAACAGTGAGACAAAAGTTAATGAAGATAACATAACTTATTAAATAGTATAGTTAAGTTTGAACTGACAGGATTATATGCACTACTGTTGTTCCTCAAAGTATTATAATAAACCAAATAACAAGAATCTACTTTTTTATAATATCATTTATTTGCAAACTGATATCAATTAGAGGAAAGTTGGAATATGCTAAAAATGACAGCCATTTAGTCATATTAGAAGTACCCGAAAAGAAATTGCACCGGTTCAAGTTGCTATGTCACATTAGTACAGTGAAATGAAGCTATCAACACAACTACGAGTGTAGCAAAAATAGTAATAGTGTAGTGAACGAGAACACAAGTGGGGACAATCGGAAGTATTTGGGCACAAAATTACAGAATCTCTTAGTAAAATCTGAGAACCATTCAGAAAATAGATCATTTACAAAATATCAGTCAATCGTCTCAGACTTTATTGTTCCTTAGTTTCTACACCAATCAGTCTCTGTTATTGTTCTCCTTTCTTATACCTTCGTGACCTTCTGCTTCCAGGTATTTCAATTTCAATTGATGATACATACCATTTATATCTATCATCATTAGTAGCACACACCACAATAGTACCGATGATAGAAGCAAAGATTAGTCATAGACAATTTGATTTGAAAAGAAAAAATGAATTAACATAACAGAAATTATTAGATAGTCTTAAAACTCAACATTTAAAGAGAAGCAAAAAGTGACTGCATGTGAGCCATTGTGATCGGTTCTAAACCATTTCAAATAACGTCTTCGACCATTGGTTTCAATTTTCGTGCGAACTCTGACCAGTTAGCGTTTACTTACCTAGCAATTATAGATCGAGTTACTTTTGGATTTGCGGAAACATCACTTTCTGGTGTCCCCTAGTTTCAAACTTATATGCGAGAATTGTCAACATGTATAATTCGACAACGTTAATTACACGATCAAATTGGAGTCAGATATTGAGCCGCTAAATTAGTTAACTATTTCTTCCTACTCCTTTTCAAGTGAACAAAGCGGACTGCGAGTATGAAGTGTAAGAAATTGTACATTAAGAAAATAGTTCTATGAAAATACTTCATCACGTTGAGTTATGCATAATTACATTTTATGTAGCTATTACAAAGTATAAAAAGGGGTTTACCCTTTGTTTAAGATATACAAAAAAATGAATCAAGTACTTGTAAATTGTATAGTGAATTTGATAACGTTCGAAAAATAGAAATACTCCTAAAATAACTAATTCATTGCATGTTGAGATATTGGTAAATAAATTAACAGCACAAGAAAGAAAAACTATTTAAATCACTTCTAATCAAAGAAACTTGTTTACACGTTAGACGATTGGGGGCAGTAGTCAGAAAATCCTGAACCTATGTTTTTTGATAGTTGATTCTTGTCAGCAAGGTATTTTCACCATCTTGGTAGGGATCAGAATTTCACAGAGGACATTACTTAATATTGCATATGCTCCTTAATTATAAGTGCGAACCAACACGAAACCTTGGTCAAATATTTCTTGCCATCTACTTTCATCCATTTAACATCAAAATACAGTGCAAGTAATGTTTAGTCATTTCAATAGGTGATCATATTGTACATGTTATCTAGATTGAGATCCTTACCAAGGGTTAAATAGACATGAGGTTGATTACCAATCGATAACCAGAAAGTGTACTCATTTTCATAGATATACTAGAAATCCGAAATGTCCATAACCTCAAAATATTTTAAGAAAACAAATAGTTAAAAAGACAGTTTCTTGTTCATTTTAGATAATGAGGTTTTAATTAGTAAAACGATTGTTTTTTAGACTTCTATCTTCCAGTTATTTATTACATACTTTAGATGAATTTACTTCACTTTTGAAAACACGTTTTGTTTGGTTGGGTCATTCACCATTGTCAAATTGTTCGGATTTCATACAAGGTTATGTAACAGGTATATAGTTTATTTCGTTTAATTCTGTGATTATACATATTGTTTTTATTATGCATATATTTGGAACGTTCAGCATTTAGTAGATCAGTATCTGACTTGAATATATATATTGTGTGCCGAGGAGAGTGTGAAAAGCAATACATGTGAGAGAGCTGACGACTCAGTATATGGAATGAAATTATATTTATGAAGGAAGGCAATCAACAATGAATAGCAATAATGCGAGAGTAAGACTAGGACAATCTAATAATTGAAACTAGGAATTAACAGTAAAATGTTCCGAACATAATACTTATTAACAAATCTTGTAATATATATCAATACTAATTCATATTGCTTAGTTTTATATTGAAAAGCACCTTTATCCATCTACCTTTTTTGCACCTATTATATTTCAGATTCCATAGGAATGTAATGTTCCTTTAAAAAACACTTTTTCTAAAACAATCGCATTCATTCAGCGTTCTTTGGGAGATAAGAGTTGAAATAATTTTGGCATTTAACACGTATGATCGCCTAAAATGTCTATCAGAGCATTAAGAAAAGGCTATTATAGTTCTCTGTGATATTCTATCTGTGAAAAAAGTATCTTTACTGAAGTCGAATTTTTAAAAACAGTAAATATAACTTGATAAAGTATCATTATTCTTTGAATGTGAAAGTCAACTTTTGTGTTATATATAACTTTATAATAATTGACTATAAGATTGTAACTGATTGTTTTCTGGGATCCATGAAACAATTATAATTTGAAAATTAGTGTAAGTGACCAATACATGGTAATGAAATGAACTTGAAATTCGATAAGTTGTAGCAATCAAACGGCTGCTTCAGATCTATATTTATATTCTTAACACTATTCGCTATTGTGGTAAGCTATTAAAGATAATGAAAATTCCATTTAATTCAATTTTCTCAGATAATCATTTATTGGTAAAGTACTTCACTTTTAAAAACCAGGAAGGAGTGGACAGCCCTCAGAAGTTCTGATCCATAACCACTCCTGAGATTGATCCTGAAAATTCAGACTGGCTCTGAAGAGTGGTATGTTTTGACAAAATAGCTGTTCAACACTTCCTGGTTTTGATGCACGGTCTAGCTAATGTCAGCACGTGATTCAAACTATGAGAATCCTATTATTCCCACTAACCATCTATATTAGTATACCTCGTTATTAATCTATGTTTTAATTATGAATAAGTTGAATTATCTACAATTTATAGAGCAAGATATCGAACAAAACGTTTTTAGGGATAATACCGTCATCTGTAAGGTTTTGATGACAAAAGTTGGTTAGAGTCTCTTGATATATGTGTATCCTGACTAGATCGTCGTTTAGTCAAGTTTTTTTAAGTTTAATAGTGACTATCAGTTCAATCTGATATGAGTGCATAAATTTTCATAATGGGACTCGAAATCCGTACCTTTTACTTCATTAGAGAATGGAAGAAGACCTCTATGTTCCTCATTATGATTGTATTTTTATTTTAGGGGTTTACTATAATGGATTACGGTTAACTGATCTTGCATCTGGTTTACAGCATCTGGCATTTGTTAAAGTTACGCGATACGCTGAAGTAGAGTATACAAATACATTTCAATTGAAATTAGGACCAAATAGTCCATTTTACACGTAAGTATTTTCTTCTCTGTATAGAATAATCAAAAATATACAATATTATATATTATAGTTTTATATCAGTAGTTTTTTATGTACTAAACATTTACTATTAATACTCAATGTATGAAAGAGTATGGTACTTTTTAGAAGTAAAACATCTCACAGAGCTTTCACAATCGACACATAGATCTTTTATTTCTAATAAAAAACACTTTAAAATGCAGTTTAAAAGCAAACTACTTTGTTGAAGATAGTCTAAACAGTGATTCTCCACCTTTAAATCTAAATTTAAACCAATCTTATTTACTGTGTTAAGAAATGAAATTATAAGATAACCCATATATCTTTAAGGGCATTTCGAAATACGGATTAGTTTCAGTTGAGAAATCATTGGAAAGCATACAATAAATAATATTATGTTACGTCCATTGGTTTGGCTTGCACTTACAACCAAACAATTTGAAGTCTAACCTATAACCTTCAATTTCTGCGACAAGTACGATGCGTCTACACTGATAAGTAAAAACGCTTATTAGTTCATATAATCAAATTTTCAACGTTTAATCTTATAGTTACACATTTTTGCCAAAATTGTTCCAGTAAAGCACCATTGAGTGAAAGAAGATGAACAGCGATCATATTGTTACTGGGAATTGTTTAATACTTAGTATTATTGTAAAACAACTATTAAATGATTATTTCAGAACACATCAAACTAACCTCTGGAGTCGTTGTTTGAATAAGCGGCTCGAACACACTGTCAAACTTGAAGCTTAACCTTGCCACTGTTTAGCATTTGGATTTTCATAGTTAGCATCAAAAAGTAATATTAGTAAAACAACCATTTAAAACCAGAAAGTGGTGGAAAGCTTTATGATCTTACTGTGAAACTCCTAGTCATTACATATTTACGACTTTACTGGCAATCGAACCTAGAGACTTCATTTTTCTTAGCAAGCACTGAACCTTCAATTAACTTTTTTTATTCTAAAATTTTCTTAGTAAATCCAATCTACGGAAAAGAAAAAAACCATTACAACTGTCGAAATCTACATCTTCAATCTTCAGTCCACTTTCAATTTCAAATGATTTTATTACAGATTTCAATAAACCTAATACAAATGGAAATAAATGTTCATCATGTATAAACAAAGACGATTTTTCACGGAATCCATCACCACTTGTATCATCATCATCATCATCATCATATTCAAATGATTTACAACCTAATTCTGAAATTCAACCAACCATAATAACATTTACAAAATCATTAAATATTTGGTTATTTATTTGTTTAATTTTAACAGGTTTAATTTTAATCAGTTCATTTGGTTTCCTTATTTATCGTTGTACACAACATAGATATATTGAAGAATATAACAATCATATTGAACATCATGAACAATCTACTTCAACAAATGAACCACATTTATTACAATCAATAGAGAATGTTAAAATTAATCAATTAGGGAAACAAGAATACTATGAAAATAATCATTATTCTCAAAATCAATTACAACAAAATATTTCATTCTATCATACAGGGTATTTAAATGATCATAGAAATGAATTGAATTCAATAATACCTTCTTCATTTTCTATTCGTAATGATCAATATGCAAATGATAAAATTGATAGTTTATCAACATCTTTATATATAGACAATGTAATTCCATCAAATCGAAATGAAACTTATACTAGTCAGAATAAATTACAACATGAATTCAATAATCAACAAATTGATGATTATAAATTAGATAGATATGTAAATTTATCTACTTGGTCTACAATACGAAATAATAATAATAATAATAATAATAATAATAATAATAATAATAATGGTAATATCTTAAAACATTCCGATTTCTTTACTTATCATCCTCATCAACACAAATCTAGTATAAATCATCTTACATTTGTACAAAGTAGACCAGCAATGTAAGATATGTATCATGTATGTATATGTGTGTGTGTGTTTGTTTGATTACATGTCTCCATGTTAGGTTAATTATATTATATTATGTTTTGGTTATTACATATTGATGTAATAAAACATAATTTATGTTACCTCTTTGTATTTATGCTTATTTTTGTGTGTGTGTGGGTATCATTCAAAAGCTAAATACAGATAAAGCTATTCAACAGGGTATGCTGATATTCCATTTGATCAGTACATATATTAAAATATAATTTAGACAAGTTGAATACTATAAATCTCTTTTATTTTCCTCTTATAATTAATTTGTTTTAAAGTTAATTGTTCTATATTATTATATTACTATTATATAAAAAGATTATTTCTTTCCATGTTGTTAACCTTTTTTATTGTGTATACAAGTAAAAGTCTAATTTTCTATACACAAACAGTCTCTACAAAAAAAATATAATCACAATTCTGTTGCTATGACAACGAAAATTCACATTATTTTCAACAGATCATTCATTATTCAATGTTGATTTCTAACGTAAAAAAAACACTTATGATTCTATCAATTCAATGAATTAAATAATATTCATCATTTCAGTTTTATATAATGAAATTGTAGTACATTTTCTATGAAATAATTTATTTTATTGATTTTTATTAAATACAAATAATAATAATAATTATTATTATAAGCTTTATTCAGTATTGTATTTTTGGTACAATATAGAATTCTTAGCACAAAGTATTTCAACAAGTTTCCGTTTCTTACTTGTTGGTCGATCCTGACGATAAATATTGAGTGATCGCCAGTTAGATGTTAGCAGTCCAGTAAATGAACATTTGAATAATGTATATTCTTTTTGCTGCATATTGCCAGCGACCACATTATCTCTTATTGGGCTTTTTGTAACTTTGACAACGAAAAGTTGTACATTTTTCAGAAATGCACCAGGATAGGTTATGCGATTAATAGACATAATGATATATATCAAAACAAACAAAAATAGATAACTTGTTGAAATACCTAGATGGCAGGAACAGGTAGTCCAGATACTCAAGCGGGCCGCCTATAATAATCCGGTTTATAATATAACTAATCCGAATAAAAATTCAGGAAAAAAGGTAATAATTGTAATGGATATAGAATTATACTTAGTTACAATGTATTTGAATAATAGGGAATGTAAACATTTAACAAAATATATTAAAAAACAATAGTTCCTTCCCTTTATTATCTTGAAAGAAATAAAGCATAAATAATTTATTTGATTATTAGAATATGAATTCATATTATTTCACTAGGTTCAATCACTTGCTTTAAAGTTGACTGTTTTTTATAACACTCGGTTTTATTTCGTCTAGTGTTATAAAGGTTGGGCTTCCAAATTTACACATATGGTGTGTTAATTTACCTTAGACGAATATCTACACTAGATTGCCTCCCAGTGTCTATTCTACGGGACTTCAACACAACTCAGATCAAGAACATGTGATTAGCCTGACCAAAACGTAAATATATTTCCACACCAAAAACCCGACACAATCCAAGAACAATGAACGATCAATAATAAGTGAGTAATAATAATAATAAGGATAAGGGAATATAAAACTCATCTAACACCTATCAGACTATCTACATGTCTGATTAAGCAGACAACCATTCATTATCATTCTCGCCCACACATCACTGTTCCTTTTGCAAATATCAGTCAATCATCTCATACTTTAATATTCATGCATTTCTATACCAATTACTTTCTGTTCCCGTTCTTTCCTTCTTGATCTTCCTAACTTTCTGCTGTCAGACATTCTATTCCTGACAAGCGTTATATACTACTTATGTCGATATAATTAACACACACCACAAAGCAACTGACGAGGATCTAACAAAATTAAATAAATTTATATTATTCAGTTAAAATGTTAGGTTCTAATTATCTGTTATTAGTTTTTCACAATGTGAAACAATGAATTTACTTTATTCATACTAAACATGCTTCATTTTCAACTGAAAATACAAATTTGATTTTGAATTTTTATACCGATTATCAGGTACTTACAACTTTAGAAAAATTAATATTCAAACTAACATAATTTTACTGAATATATTATCAAAAATTGTAAGAAGCATAAAATGTTCCTGATATGTAGAGTAAATCAGAACTAGCAAAAGGTCAGTCGATGGCAATCAGAAGTGACTTAAAAGCTAAGTGTACTTCATTGGTGTCAATGGGGCAATTCCCTAAGGATAGAGTGGTATATATATGAATGAGTATTTGTACATTAAATTCAGAAGTCCAATACACTTTCTCGTTCACACTTGTGTTTTCACTCGAGTAGTCATTTGGAGGGTTAGCAAGTATCACATCATGTATCGGTATCAGATTTCGGACGCTGCATAACACAACACATCCTTAAGGTTGAATGCTAAATTTTTCTTAATGAACTTTAAAAGTATAGAAACTTACATGTTGAATAACTGTTAATTACTTGGAACTTTAGGAGCATGGATTTACCATTAAAAGGCTTGTTTAGGATTAAATTGTTCATTTAGAAAAATCTTAACTCATAAGAATAATCTTTTGGATTCTTACTTAGTTAATTCATAACTGTAACGACAATAGTAAAAGATTTGATTGAATTACTTATTATTATAAGCAGGGATACAAATACAAGCATTTTTTAGAGATGTTGCGTTCTGTGATCTGGTTGGTCTGTGATCTTTGCATTATCATCTTATACAATATCATTAGGAAATACTTCTAGAAGCAGTGACTTATTCGAAGTTTTCCACAGCTAGCCGAAAGCTCGTTTTATTGACTTGAAATTTGAATGATTGTTTTCCATAATTAAGTTGCCGTTCTTCATATCTTGAATTTGATTGGTTCCCCCTTAAATCATATCACTGACCTTTGAATTTTTCATACTTTATCTTGTTGGCTAATAAATTGGATCGACGTTGACATATCGTTTTATTGGTGAGTGACCTGAATGTTATACTTTGAAAATAATTTGCTTATGACTTCTGAGACACTCTCTTGTAGAGTAGGATTGTCCTCTCGGAAATTGTAGCCACTGATTTTTTTAAGAAAGGCAATCAAGACTTTAAAACCAAACTATTCTTTTCAAATAACATAACGCATCCGAAACACACCTACTGAGCCACAAATGTTCTTAATTACCATAAAACACTATTTGGAAAAAAATGTTTTGATAGACATATAAGCGCTTCCCCCTTTCAAAGTAGTCAATTTCCAATGTTTAAGTAACGAAATGTTTGACCAAATAAACAAAAAATATTCAAGAACTAGAACGTAACTTCATGATAATTAACTGATGTGGGTACAAGCACAGTAAAGTCAACTTATACATAATGATCTTCACTGTGAATCAACTTTTTTCGAAGGTGGTGGGATGATTCGCAAACAATTTTCCAATCCACCTATATACTAAAAATTATCAAAAGCTTGCTAATGTCTAACCTTGAGTGGTAATTCCCGAAGTGCAGGTGATAAACCGTGACTTGTTGAGTTCAGTCAAGTGTGTGGCATTTAGCTATCAACAACTGATGTGGTCATCGACAGTCTAACTGACTGCAGTATCAGTAGCTTGTGACGTTCTTTCCTTTCCCCAATAGTCTGCGATTAATAATGACATTTCAGGAAAGAGTAATCATTATTAAATGTACCTGTTAGTCTAAAACGTTCAACTTTATGATATTTTATATTCTGGTGTCAAGTGCTGCTCAGTTTATTGTTGACAAATGCATCTGTCAATCAGCGTAGATAAGATAAAAACTAACATATTCAGATATTAATCTTTGATTAATTTTTAGCATCAAACAAATCACCAACTACCGTCATCGTATTCCTAATTAAGTCATTCTATTTGCGGGTTTTTCAGTTATTGTGCCAAGATCATGCCCAGATGCAATAAAAACATTGGAAGATGATTACTCATTATTACAAATTGTTAAAAGTTAGAAATGTTCACTAGTGATCAAAAAATTAAACGTTTTCCGAAAGACCTGACTGTTTTAGGTTCGGTTGAAGATAGGGTCCTGGGTGTGTAACGCTGAGAAGCCTTATATTATAACTAAACAGATGTTACGTGCTTATTGGTTTCTAATAGTTGTTTTACTAAGATCAATCTGTGTAGTCAACCATGAAATAATCATTTAATATGTACAAATTTTAAAAATATGTAGGCAAAGTGTTTGAAAAAAAGTGATATTATCAGACATCAAATTGTTGTCACTACTTATTAACAGAACAATGAAATTCGACTGACAAAAGATTTATGATAATTTTCAAAAGTTAATATTAAATTTGGCTTGGAGAATTCCTTATCATACCGTTCTCATCTGTTTCATAGATCAAAAATAATTTAAAATTTTGTCTTACACGTTTTTACATTTTGTATTCAAGTAGTTTACTAGCAAAATGGATGATAAATGTTACTGGGCATTGAATTTGATAAATAAACAGACAACCAGAAAGTGAGAAAAGCAAAAAGCTGGAATTTTTAAGTATAATTGGATAGTGACTAGTAGTTAAGTACAGGAAGCACGTTCCGTTCTTTTTGGGGATAGTTGTTTGGATGTATCGCTATCCCAGAATTAATGTTTATTCCTGAACCCATTCCACATGCAGTAGAATAGACTAAAAAGTTGCTGTACTTAAAATAAGTAACAGTACGATTCAAACCCATATAATCGAAAAAATTATAAAAATATATGAGTGAATTGGTGCTAAATTGAATTTAGTAAATATCTGTAAAAACATCATTTCAAAATAACCAAATCAGTTGACATCTTTTTATTTAGCATGAAACGATTTACGTAGATTGTAGAATTTTTTAAGTTTCGATCACTAACTGGTATAAGCTAGACCACCATTGAAAACCTGGAAACACAAGATGTTATACGACTTCTCTGCAGTGAGCATACACGGATCCACACGTCGGACCCGAAACCATGACGCGTAAATGCTTAACCTTTAGACCACTCAGCTGTGATTCAACGGTGTTAATGTCTGACCTCAATCAATCCACGACATTGCATGATCATCTTCCATTGTCTTCGGTGGGTAACTGTCTTTCATCTGACACGGAGTGACTCCTCTGGTCATTGCTTCTCACCGAATCCCCAAGGACTTTTTGTCGAGGCTAGTCACTAGTGGCTACACGATAATTTTCCAGTGGTCTAGACGATGATCATTCGCATCAGAAAAAGATGGTCCTTAGTTCGAGTCCAGCGTGTAGGATCATGGATGCGAAATGTAGAGAAGTCTCATGTTAGGACGAAACGGCCGTCCAATGTCTCCAAGCTTTGAATGGTGGTCCAACACTGATCGATTCATTATCTCAATTAAAACTCAGTAATCTCCACATCCTTATACTGAAAATAATACAATGACCTGAATCACCTGGTTAAGTGCATATGATACGAAAAGCTCAGCTAGGAGTTCTTTATTCTTGACAGCTGGTGAGTTTGATGATAATATTACGTTACTTTTGACTAACTATTGAATGACCTCAGATCTTTTATGTCCGTATTTTAATGAATAATGAGCAAATAGGTAGTAATAAGGATCAGTTGTTACAAACGAAGAAATCGAAGAACCTGAATAATATTTATATTCAGTTTAAAAATAAATTAAGTTCTATTATAAGTTTGTCTACAAACTTAG